CCCTCGGAGCCTGCGACGGAGTCGTCTCTACAAGGCCCGGATCTGGAGTTTTCCCATAACCAAACTCCAAACGAAGAGAACGAAGCTATTGAGAGCACGATGCCTCCTTTCGAACCATTGTTCACTCTCCTGACCAACTCAACTACAAATACTACTGTGCATCCTCGCGTCCACTACGTCTTCTCCGATGACGACCCTTCGATCCTCGCTGCCGGTGCTCAAGACCCGTCGCACCGACCTCTTGTCGTAGATCTCGCGCCAGCTCCCGAAGGCGAGTCCAACCGATGGGCTGTATCCTGGGCCGCCAGTTTAACGCCCGATTTCGCCGTGACAAACTCGAGCGTAGCTGTCCAGCAGAGCGAGGGTGAAGAGAACGGAGGTGTTGGCGCTCTAATGCTCCGTGTTGAAGGCATCGAGCGCGAGCCCGTTGAAATGCGGCCCGAGTCCCTGCCTAGCTCTGGCAGTGGCGCCATAGGAGGTGAGGACGTCGATGTCTTGGCCGAAGAGTTCCGCAGACGCATGGGAGTGCTGAAGAAGGTGGTTGGTGAGGCTGAAAAGAGGCGTCTGGTGATAGGACAGGATGAAGACATTCCCGATGCTGAAGATGAAGATGGCGCACCTGATGAAGCGGTGGTAGACTATGATGAGGACAAGGGGAAGGCAAAGGTGAAAGCAGAGAATGATTGACAGGAACTCACTTGAGAAGTTCCGTTTGCTCTGATGACTTTGAGGCTCTGTATCGGCAAAGATGGAACCGTGCCATCAACCGTGGTAAGTTGCACACTGTCATCAGTTCTACCATGCTAATGCACCTACAGATTGTGATTCTACAAGATTAAGGATTTTGAATCCTCGCACCGACAATATACAGAGATGTCCTAATGGGATTATGGGCCATCACAGTTTCAGGTGGACCAGACACCTTTGAATATGAATGAATACAGCTTGGCGTATAGGGGTTGTCTGATACATATGGGTATCGAGCGTGTCAGATTGTTAACTAGCGATTTGAATATTTGATCCGAGTCAAAACGTCACGATGCATCAACACAAGTGAGGAAGCGAAATGTAATTAAAAGTTCATACTATAAACGCCTCGAACTAATGCAAAGAGAAAAGGAGATCAAACGCCAGAGGAGTGGCAGAGTCAAACCCGGTTGTATAAACAAAAAAGAAAAAAGACGGGCTATCGGGTTATAGCAACAGTGATGATCCAAATCCAATGGGAATACGCATAACACAAATACAGCTCTGACACTGCTTTTACCTCCACACGATCCCGGCCCACTTCTCTGGAGCGCGTATATGTTCCTCAATGAGTACAAGTATCGCTTCTAGGCCAGGCTCTCATCGTTCGACTCCGACCTAGTTCCGCGGTAGCTAGGTTAGATGGAACCACCCTCCGCCAACACTGTTGAGCAGAGAGGATGCTGTGTTGTCGGCAGCAACACGACGGGCTAAGCGAGCAGGTAGGACAGCTGTGTGCATAACGGGCAAGCTGCCAATGGCTGCCTCGATACTTCGCTTCTTGTTGTTGTTGTTCTGTCCCTTGATGACGAAGATGTAGATGAGAACAATAATGACAATAACAACAATGATAGCAACTGGATAAGTTAGCGAGATGCCTCACATCAAGTCGGATTTGCGAATACATACCACAGATACCCAAGCAGATCCACTTCTTCTTGCGTGTCTTGCGGGCAGTGTTGACGGCCACACCAATCTCCTCGTTACCCTTGTCGAGGTTCTCAACGACTTCTTCACCCTTCTGTTCAATTTGGGTGACGGCAGCTTCTTGCTGAACGACGAGGGTGTCCATATCCTGGAACAATTGAGCCAGCTCAACCATTTGCTGCTCGATCTTGATGAGAGCCTGGTGACGATCCTGAACAGCGCTCAGAGCAGCACGGGCACGACCCTGGCGATCGCTCTGCATCATAGCCTGGCTAAAGACCTGGCCTCCAGTGGTGTCCTCAACGGCAGCCTGAATCTCTTGCTCTGAGGCATCTGGGCGCACAATACGGTACTGGCGGGCCATCTGATCCTGTGTGCGTTTTCGGAATTGCGACTCGACCTGCTGGTATTGGGTGATGGCAGCCTTGAGACGGCGGTCAATGCGGGTGACGTGAGGGTTGTTCTTTGGCGATTTCGCCTCAGGGTTAGACTTGACGGTGCGGACTCGCTCGGTAAGCTCGCGGTAGAGAGACATGGTATCAGCGGAAAGTGAGTCGAGCTGGCGGCTGGCGGCACTGGAACCTGAGCTATCGGCGTCGTCAAGAGTTCGCTGTTGGATCATACGAAGCTGTTCCAAGTTCTGCTCAACAGTGTCGATTCCACGATCGATGTCGCGGCACTCATTGAGGATGGCGTTGGGGTCGCCTTGGCCGAAGCCGCCGGCGTTGTGGGCAAGGGGAGCCATCTCGACGCTACCTATCCCTCAAGCCATGTCAGTATGTGGTGGAAGAGGACAACCTTTTGAGTCCAAATTTCTCACCTCCATAACCCTGAGCGGGTGGGCTGTTGTAGCCACCGCCATTGCCGTAGCCATTGTTACCGCCATAGCCCTGGTCAGGGGAGTCGTATGGATTTTGGCCACCGTATCTGTTGTCAGAGTCAGTAAGCAGACCGAGTAAGCTATATGTCTGAACTCAGGCAAAACATACCCGTACTATAACAAAAGTCAGCAGATTATTCATAAAAAAGGTCTGGGCAGTTGGAAGAGAAAACAGCAGGTCGCAAAAAGGTACAAGCTCAATTGGTGTCGCATGGGAAACACTCCAAATTGGAGCAGGATCAACAGGAGAGGGTTGGATAGGAGGCGCAAACTAACACTCATTGTAGTGACTGAGCTGGAGCTCTGCTGTGTTGTCTGTCTTGGTTTCGACGAATCTTACCACCTTTCACCGGAGGTTGGTCGTTTTTTGAGGATTGTCTTTGATTAATTGCTTTTCTCTCGTCGCTTTTCGAATCGAGTCGAGTTGCCAAGGGGTTTGGTTAGAGTTAGTGTTTCTCGTCGCGCAGCAAAGAGAAAGGAGTAAGGCTCGTTGATAATTACGATCAAAGAGAAGAATGATCGAGACTTGCGTAAACTACTGACGAGATAGAAAAAGGTAAAAAAGGAAAAGACGGCAAGTAAAAGAGAGATTTGAGTGAGACGAGGGAGGGTGTAGAGTTAAGGTCAGAAAAATAGGATCAAGGCCAGGTGCAAATGAGACGTGACGGGAGATGGCAAGGAAGGCCCCAGCCAGGCCAGGAATGGGAGTGCGAGCCCAGCGCAAGTGCGAGACGAGATTAGTGGAGGCCTTGTAGCAGCGGCAGTGGCAGTGGCAGAGTAGCACTTAGCCACTGAAATGTTAGCGGGCCTGGGGGTGAGGGTGGAGGCTAAGGCACTGGCGCTTGGACGCCGCTCACTGCCTTTAGCGGGCTAGGGAACACCTTAGCTTAGCCCTGTTCCGTACAAGCACCATGCTTACTCCGTATTGTGCAAGCCCCTTTGCTTTGCTCTCTTGATGCAGGGTCCAATAGTCGGGATAAGAGATGCAAATCTGATTCCAGTTGCGACTTCTAGTGTACGACGGCTACGTAAGAGACTCTGTTTCTCTGGATGTTTTGGCCGAGTGCCAAGGTTCGCATCGTCATGATCAGCTTCAAAACAGCCCCTTTGATCATACGCGATGCCATGATAAAGGTGCTCAAAACCAGAGCTGCAACAGCCAGAAACACTTTGAGAGTCTGGTCAATCATGCGACACTTATTCAATAGGATTATCATAGAATGGCACCAGAGACATACAGTAACCTAGCTATAAATGAGCTTAACATGTTTTTGGCTTAGAGGGAGGACAGAAGACAGATTCAAGCCTACACACTACCGCTAGATAACACCATCGATCTCACCATCTTATTTTGTCTAACACCCCTGAACAAGGGGCAATCCCGAAATAACCACTGTCCCTCGATAGCATCGTTCATTGGCGATGCATTCTCCACTGTTTCACCCTTGGGCGCCTGCTTTCCATTAATCCTGGTTTCTTCAGAGTCTGACTGAGAATTCTGTAACAAGTCTGGTGTTTTATATCCAATCTCTCTCTTTGTCTCCGACTATGTATCATCGCATCCACCGGCTCTATCCGACATCATCACCAAAAGCTTCAAACTCTGATTCATAAACAAAGTCTCTCGTGTCATCCGCTAACTAAAGCAATTGAATCCGTTCGTCTGCAGGCTGGCAACCTCCACCTGAGTGAGCCCTGTGATCCTGCGCTAGTCCTTCAGCTCTGCAAAAGCAAAATGGCGCCCACCCTTTCGAGATTGACCTTGACCAGGGGGTCTCGAACAATCAACTTAAGCTTCGCCGCGTGGGTCTGGAGCGGCATTGCCAAGGAGGCTATTCGCTATTCGTGGTATTTTCGGATCGAGGAACCATCATTCATCTCGTCCTGTGTCTGGTATAGAGTCGAACATGGAAATGATTACATAGCATATCAGCTTTCCAGTGAGAGTAACTCTTTTACTAGACGATAAGTTGGGATACTTTGTATGCACCTCGTAATTTCCTGTTGCTTATGCCCTTGGCCAGCTCCACCAGCAATGCATGCTTCGTCTTACTCTGCCGTTCAACGGACGGGACAATTGACACCTTTCCAGCCATCCATCTCATATTCAGCCGCAGAAACTTGTTGCGTAGCACAAACCAACAGGCTTCCCAAATCCGTTTCCGACGGACTCTACCCTAGGCTTATTCCGAGAACTCTGCTGTGACCAAACCATGACTCGTATATTCTCATAGTAGATGCGGAATCGACTGTAACTAACAATTTGGTATATTCCTATTGTGATACTCGAAGGGAATGACTCTCTTTCTTCCTTCTAACATCTACCCATACCAAACCAACACAACACCATTGTCGTTCAAGAACTCCGCAACAGAATTACGGCTCTGACTCGATCAAATACTGTATTCCCACTATAGCGGAAGGTCCACATTTTTGTTGCCCATACTCAGAGAATAGCATATCCAGACACGTAACTGACACTCATGGCGCTCGGGTATTCGACCAAGTTGCTGCGATCATATTTGATAATATCAAATCGCCCCTTGTCTTGAAACGCATCCTCTTGTCGGATGAGCTCCAGAGCTGCCATCACGACACCAATGGGATGGCGTCCACAGACAGTATTTCGCGTTTGCTTAAGAGTGTCAAGGAATGCATCATGGCTGCCACTCTTGACGGCGTCCATGGCTGCTTCGTCGATGACTCTAATCGTCTCATGAATAGGTGGACCGTTGGGTTTGGGATCCTCCTTTCTCAATCGTGTCAGATCAGAAGGGCTCTTCGTAGGTGAGTAAGGTAGATAGCTGAAATGTGCGCCCCAGTGACAGAAATCGGAGCTGATGATGAAGGCGTTCTCAGGATCTCTGAGGTAGGGCAATAGGGCTCGCCCTATTGCCTTCTCCTCTCGCCTGTTGTTGCTTCCCACGAGCACGGGCACAATCTTGGGGAACTTATCAGGCGAGTCAAATGTTTCCTGGCAACGGAGGTAAAGGATCGGCATATGCATCTCAAGAGAGTGTTCGTTAACCTCCCCCGTTCTGTCCATAGGCTCCATTGCTACTGTATCCTCGAGCTCTCTGGCCAGTTCTGTGTCTATCTCCAGGTCGCCAAAGGGTGTCGCATATTTCTCAAAAGTGGTTGCCGCACATCCCTCGAGGTAGTAAGTGTGAGATGGGCCCAGGACAATGACACGTTTGGCACGGCTCAAGTCGAGAGTCTTATAAGCCCAGGCTGCACACGGCCCAGAGAATTCATATCCTGCATGACTGCAGTACACTGTTGTCAGCACAAAATTATATCGATGCACTTTCCAGATAGACTCACGGGGCGATGATAACACGGGCTCCGGTAACAGGCACTGGAACTCCATCCAAACTCTCCGGGACTGCCATTAGATAGCTCTGTAGCTCAAGGCGTAACGTTTCCGGGTCCTTCTCATACCAGGAGCCGGCCTTTTTCGCTGGTCGGGTGGTCGTCATTGTAAAATGAGAAGTTTCAGAACAAAATTACAATTCTGACGATGATAGATGAGGGTTAATTAAGAAGATATAAATATGTTTTTAGATAGATACCTAGGGATGGGGAGAACGAAAGTAAGTCGGGTAGGAACAGATCGCATCCGTATGTGTCTTACCTCTAAGGTTGCCCCGCCTTACACAGCGGGGTACACGAAGCTTTAGGCATACCTATTCATGCTGTGCTTGCTCGTTGTGGCATGACTTCAAAATGGTTGGATGACAAGACTCGAGAGTTTGTTGTTCTTGAGGCATCAGGCGGAACGGCACATTGTCCACTCTACTGATGAAGCTGCTCTTTGGGTAGTCCAGGATTTATATGTCGATGCATGACACAAACAGCAAACACTGACAATCGATGCCCAGATGAGCCACAATTATGTATAGGTACGTATAACAAATTGTATCACCTAAATTGTGCTCTTGCTATTCATTGCTTCTCATGATTAGCCAATTTCACTCATGCATTCATCCATCAATCCACGACCCAGGCATCGTGATGGTCTCCTTCTCTATCACCTGCCAGAACTCTTTTGCCATCCATTCAAATTCTGGCGCCCAAACTATTTCCCATTCACTAGGGGTCGGACCAAACTTGAGTCCTAAGAGTCGAATCGGTATCCAATGGTTGTTGTTCCATATCTTTCGACCGGATCGCTCTACTCGTCTGAACGTAAGTCCCGCGCTCGTTGACGGCAGCACGTTCCGTATTTCATTCCTCGATGCCTCGATTGTGTCTGAATCGAAAGCTGCGCGAAAGTGTTTGCTAATATTGATAGACTCTTGTTCTCCGTAGAGCATCAGGTCAACTCCGCTCTCCTGCAAGATTGAAACAAACTTCTGGATGCAACCTTGGAACACATTATCCCAATGAAAGAATTCAATGTCAGGAGAAAGGTAGCAGAGAGCTCCGCCAATAACTGAGATCAGTGGTGTGCCTTTCCAGGTTGGAACCTGATATACATCCCAGGGCTGCACTGTCTCGACCGTGTGTAAATCTTCCTGTCTGGCAACTGACGCTACCTCCAGCACCAACTGATCCCATCCCATGTGAAAGAGTGATAAGTTCCACATGGCCCAGCCTCTTACCCACGGAAGAACTTCATCTGCGAAACGAATACCGAGTGCCACAGCTGCCGAGTGCATGAGTGAAACCCCAGTGCGACTTGATTCCCCAACGTCGAAACTGGTGATTTTCTGATCTCGTGCGAGAAGGTAGGAGAGTGTTGTTGGCGTTTGACAATGAAAAGATCCAAGCCGGAAAGCTTCCAGGCGATGAATGAGCGGGCCATTATAGAAGTTAGGCAAGAATCTTTTCTGAAAGATTCTAATATACTCGTCACTATAATCGCATGATCTATGATAGTCGAACATGCGCAGAACCATGCTTGTCTCTGGCTCATCCATATATGACTGAAATAAACCTGCAATCTTTAGCCATACTTTCTCCGGGTTGCTTCGATCGGGATTGAAAACTGGCGCTGTCAATGCACTCCTGAGAGCATATCAGAACTTAGGTATCGCATGACTGTGATGTAGAACTTACTTTTCGGGGCCAACTTTCTCAAGCAAAGCTTCATGAAGCCCTAAGCTCAGTAGCAACTGACAGATGTCGAAGTTTTTGCTTTCCGCAGCGTACTGTAAGCCAAATTAGTGGCCTTATCTAACGCTGCTCGGTGGTGCTGCCATACATAAAGAAGAGATTGCCCCATTTCGTCTTTGTCGAACGGAGACGCTTTCCGGTTCCTGAATAGCTCAAGAACACCGGCCCTATCTCCTTCTTCTATCCTTTGGATAACCTCAGATTTAGATGAGACAACATTGTACACTCGATAGTTGTATGTCCAACCGCAGCCAGTCGGAGTAGATTGTAATTCGTGTACGGATGATGAAAGCCAACTTGGTAATTGGAGATACGCTTGCCACGCACCAGTGGTAGTAGCATATGCCATGGCTAATCGACCGAATTTCGAAGGGGTATATATCTTGTTGAGCTTTGAACCGTGCTTCGGGATACGTGACAGTTGAGATTCATCAATCTCTGTGACATTGCAGCGAGATTCATCTTGCTTTTGGGCCTCGATCTGTGGGCTTTTCTCAAATTTAGAGCTTCCACAATGGTCCTTGAGTGTTTTGGTGAGCTGAGTTGCAATTAGATCAGGTGTCATTATCGTGATAGTCCTTGACGAATATCATTAGTTACTCCTCACCAAGCGAGCTCAGTGTCAGCCCCCGTCATGTCATTACTTACATATGCCAAGCCTGTATCGCTAAGCTCAGCAATGATATTGACTCGTTCAGTCTGGTGGTGAGAGCATCTAAGCTTTCCTTTCCAATGGTTATCTTCACAGCGGCGAGCTTGCGTTTCAGGCCAGTCTTGACTTCGAGTTTCGAGGATATATAATCTGCGTTTTGTCTAAGCAACTCCAGCGCCTCCATCGAAGCCCTTAAGTTATCTTGTACCAGCGAAAAAGTAGGCAACATAGTGAAGGATTGCTGGTTCGGATATTGCTGATCTAGGGCTTCAAATATAGACTTATAACCTTGTAGACGTTTCAAAAGAAACTGCGTTTCCTGAGGTAGATCTTGGGCTTGGTCCCACAGCCTCTTCGTCTTGATTACGCATTTCCCAATTTCTGTCGAGATTTGGACAAATGCAATAATGCTTGCGGCGGCCTCCATCCTCAGTTGTGGATCAGACGGTTGATGCTTATGGTATGAGCCAACAGTCAAAACAAAGAATAAATACAGTTACTACGATTATGAGAAAACAGCCAGCTTCTATGGGCAGGACGAGTCATTAATAATGAGTTGTTAAATCCCAACAGACAAGAGCACTGCCTCTTTGACGACATAACCAACAAGACTGTTACCTTTGTGGGACAGTGTTGACCAACCAGGCTACTTGATTGAGGCTATCCATGTCGCTATCCGGGGTTGAAAGGCGCGTAGAGTAGTGGCCATGGGAAGATAGGCGGCAAACTGCAGCGCAACTTGAATTATGGATGGATGGGTGCCTCGTAATGTTTCACATCATGATCAGGCGACGTACCATGATAGGCCTCCCGAATATGCCTATACCTGATTCCACTAGCATTCAGTTTCCATGTTCTTGGAGGCGAGCAGTCAGTTAGATACAGGTATTCATAATAGAAACATGATGATATTGTATGCATGAGGAGGCGCCTGGCGGTTATTAAAGACGGGTACGGTACGGGTGCGGCCCGTTGGAGGCGCTAAACATCGCCAGCTCCACCAACTGTGAAATCATCAACAGGCTTGGAGTTCTGACTACCATACCCAACAGTTCTTATGTTGCAGGGCAAAATTGCTTGTGCCAGAAAAAACACAGAGCTTACGGAGTAGTATTCGATCATATTTGCCTAAATATAAGAGTATATGGCCTGTACAAGTTCCAATCTGTTGCAACTAACTTGGTAATCCATCATCCTTTCATTCCTAGTGACCATGTTTAGCATTGCAAATGATTGAAGCACTGTCCCGTCGGTGGTCATATATGAACAAAACAAAGAGTCTTTGCCTTATAGAACCAGCTTAACAAAACCAGCTTATCTTTTGGAAACTGATATACCAACCAATGTGTAATGATTCCCTATCATGAGATCCCGCAAGAGGTGAATACTTATTACTAAGGCACGCCTTGCAGCACGGCTCGTATTCCCTGCATTGTGGCTTCCGGTGCCGCGTGCCCCTTTCGATAGTTGGCATGCGCCAGGCAAAGCTGAAGGACTGAGGCTGGCTGCATGATGGGGTTAAAGACAGCGGTACCTAACGCAAGGAGCCACACAGAACGGTAAAGATGGGCAACAGCCGAGTGAGCCAGTTACCGTGTAGTAGCCACAATGTGATATGTGGTTCAACAGTTGTCTCTCGGAAGAGCCGTAAACGTTCCGGGTATTTTTGCAATGGACATCGACTGGGGCTCGAATAATTGAGCTGCGGTAAAGACGGTCGAAACCCGCAGCCCCACGATTTAATGGATGCTCATCTAACGACAAAGCTCAGATGGGGAACTTGAGCTGATGCTGTTTTCTTTGCGAGAGGTGGGAAAATAAGTAGGGTAGTTTGATGAAAACATAAGATATTTGTTATGAGTGGAGGGTAGCACCTTAGGTTGGCACTATAGCGTCGGATTGCATAATCTAGTTGCGACAACATCAAAACATCTGTCAGAGATATAAAATAATAATAGAATGCTAAGAAAAGATTCACAGAAACTTCCTATGTTTCTAGTTTGTAAGTGTCTCTCCATATCAATGGATGCATTTGTCCAAGTGAAGTGGATTGGATGGAGCTATCCATTTACCGAAGTCGGAGTCAGCCCCAGTGGCGAACGGGTCTATTGCCGAACCGACTGACCGGACTCTTCCTATTGAACTTTATTGGAATATATCCCGAACCGAGTCGTCGAGTATCTTGGGCTCAAAGTCTGTTGCATTCAAACTTTGCTCGTAGGTAGTCGAACTAAGCTTATACATGCGTGGAAATGTTTATCATAACTCGCTGAACTGGGTGCTAGGGACCCTGGAGAGTACTAGGTACTGATTTACGGGCTGGCTGCCTTTGAATAGCGGGCGCTGGCGTCGACAGTGGGCTAAGACATGCCGTTAACTAACGATCTATAGCGCCCAGCCCTGTCTCACCTGTCTAATGTTTCTTAGGAGAAACTGTCTACGCTAATGACGCTGCTAACGAAAAGAACAGAGAACCGACATCCCAATCTGATCTAGGCTGGCAATGCCTCGCCCGGGACCGAAAAAGCTCTGTCACCGTGTTAGTCTCGATCGTCGAATGCCGTGCCGTTTTAACCATTGAATTGCCACTAATAAATGACAAACTATGCAATAAAATTAATCAGCTCGCTCTTTGACTTGAGTTTTTCCTTCGTCTCGTTGCTTCGAAGCCCAATGTTTCCCTTCCCTGCGACAATCTGTTGTACTTGA